TACAATATTAAAATGAATTTTTATTACATATTTAGTCTTATGATTTTCTTAAAGTTTAAGAGTAATAATAGAAGCATGTTTATGTACATGTGGAGTTTAAATGTACTTGTAATAATAACTAAGGGTACTAAAGGTACTTTTTGGTGCTTTCCAAATTTTTTTTTAAAAAAAAATTTCATATTTATTACTTAATAACTATACATTTCTATTCATCATTTTGATCAGTATGTTTGAATAAATTAATAAACTTATTTACATAAATAAACTTTTGATTTATAGCTTTTAACTTAACCATTTTCATAATGTTTCGTAATCATTATATTTCCTTTAAACCTCGTAAAAATCATATAAGACATCCATCTTATATTCTTACCACAACCAAATATGATATATTAAATAAGAAAACCACTAAAATAAGCACCTCTAATGATAATTGTGGTAAATTAGTACATGATGAAATGTTGAGCAAAGATACTGATGATATGTTGGTTGAAAATAATTCTGATACTGATATATTATATGAAGACGATATGTTGGGCAAAGATGATATGGTGGGAGAAGGCAATATTCTGAGTGACGACGATATTCTGAGTGATGACGAAGACGACATGCTGAGTGGAAACAATATGTTGAGTGAAGACTATATATTGAGTGAAAATGATTGGCTGAGCGAAAATGATGTATTGAGTAAAGATGATGTTTTGAGCAATAATATATTGAGCAAAGATGATATTTTGAGCAACGATGTATTGAGCGAGGACAATTCTGATAGAGAAATTGTTGATGAACCTTTGAATAATGAAAATATACCGCATATTAATGGAGAATTTGCACCATATTTCAGCAATATTACAGAAGCGTTAATGTTTTGTTGAGTTCAAAAGCATAACATATGTAGGTTTACAGGTTTATAATAATTTAGTAACAATAAATTTTATTTTCTAATTTCTTTTTTTTTTTTGTATTAGCCACCCAAGCTTATGATGACTTAGCAAATATAATTTGTCATCCTCAGTTCAAATGTGAAGATATCATAAAGAATATTAGATGGTTTAGAGAATACAGACAAAGACTACATTTGCTCCCAATTAGATCACATCAAATTCGTATTTCTAGTAGACAAACACCATCTACGTCAAAAAATATTAAGAAGGCCTATTATTTGTCTGTTTGTGACATTATTTGGTATACTCTCAATAATCCTTCTATATTTAATAAAATATACTTTGGCCCAGGCCAAAATATTACAAAAAATTATGAACTGTTGCATAGTAACATTTGGAAAGAATCTCCACGATTTGGACAAGAGTCAGTTATTATAAATAATGGTAATTTTAGATATTGAGTTTTTTTTTAAAAAAAAAATATATATATAACAATTAAATAATAATATCTTTATTTTTTTTTATAGTAAAATATTATTCTGATGATTTCATAATTTATTGGGAATCTACTACAAAAAGGATTGGACGCATTTTATTGATAGTTCAAAAAGACAGCAGCCTTAATATTAACATTCAACGCATTTTAACATTTAAAGAATTGCCAGGAAACATGCAAAGTAATAGTCGCAAAGAAAGGTCAATGAGAGATGAAATATGGATGCTAGATAGAAACATGAATAATGTGACTATGCTTATTGAATTGCAAACAGTCGTTAAGCATATTATGGTTACTATTTTGTATGATAATAATATAACAATAAAAGAGGATTCTTCAATTGTTATCTGTGAAATTTTATATAACTGTAATAATAAATGGAAATTAAGAAGTATAGCTTATTCTTACAAGCATCCCTCAGAGTTTGCTGCTTTAAAAGAACCTACCACAAGCCTGCCAGTTTATAAGCTATATATAGATCTTTATTATGATGACTTCGAAACATTCTGCAATGTTTATCACTCACTAGAAGGCATCTATGTTTAAATTGGAAATATAATATTTGACTAAAGATAAAAACTTAAGAATCATTTTGTACTTGGGTTTGTACCCTTTGGTGGTTCTTTTAATAAATTTATTCGCCCTTTTATAGCTGATATGAAAGACTTAGAAAAAGGAAAATAATGAATATACAAGACATATTAAGTCTCGTAATTGCAAGCCTCAGAGATATAACTTCTGACCTGCCTCAAGGGAATCACATGGTTGGAGTCAAAAAATATAATGCCACAAGGGGCTGCCGTACTTGCAACCTAACAAAAAATTGTTGGACGTATGATAATGTTGATTTATTGATA